GGAAATCTCTTAATTGTTTGATGAGTGAGTTTGGAATGTTATCTGTTCCAACCGAATGTGAATTTTTAAGACGACTTATTTCTTTTTGAACACAAGCGGGTGAGAAATCAATGGTAGTGAGATTTGAATTACACAGCAGAGGGATTGCAAAAGTAGGGCTAGTTTCGATGGTAAAGCACTTGGTGAAAAAGGAATTTAGAAATGCTGCTTTCTCCAAACGCATACGCATTGCCATCTGTTGTTGCAGACGGTCATTCCACTCGGCGATGCTATTTTTTGTTTTGGGTAAGCCTATAAATAGGACCTAAACCGTCCTCACAGGAAATCGCGTACTGATTTTAAATATATATCTGAATTGGAACCGAAAAATGCATGGGAGCCCGGAATAGCCATTAGTCGTCATCAGTTGGTCATGCCTAATCTCAGTAGTGACTTATCCTCCATTAAACTGTTTATTGAAAATGCAGGTCTGCTCCTAACAGTGCATGTCGCGGTCACTTAACTCCATCTCATGCCCTTAATAGTTTCTAAATATGTCCTCTATAATTATTGTCTCGAGTTTATAGAGAAGTCTGGTGGACCAAGTGAGGAGCCGAACCCTGGTTGTTGTGTCATACAGCAACAGAAGCATTGGAAAAACGCCGATCTGGGCTTGTTGCTAGTCACTAAGTCCAAAGAACAGTAAAACGCCTTTTCCTTTCTGGGAGGAATGTCTGCTATATGAAAGGACTGCCCGAGCCATGGCCCATAATGTTTTCTGTCAACTGTTTCGTGGTCGTTCGGGCGTATTTTGTTGGATGTTCTGAAGGGGTTTGTGCTTTTATGGTCATGAGCTAATTTTTGGGTGCCGGCTGATTGCTATGGTCCATAGTAAGCATAAAGTCCCCTTGGCATGTGTGATGGCCTATATAATACAAAATCGCGGATTTGCTATGAACGTTGATCATATGATTTCTTTATCAACGTCATTTTGTTAGGTAAGAAGTTCTGGTCAAATTTAACTCTACCTTCTATATAAGCTCACTGTTCTTCTGGGTAAGCAGGTCGTATTCAGCGGCAAAAAATCGAACCCAAACCTAATAACTAAGTGTCTATTTCCACTCTCGAGGTTTCCTCTCTGCTGACAGGTCACACGTCAACCAATTTGGCATTCACTATCTGCCATCAGCAGATTCTAATCAGCTCAGTCTTGACCAATGCAAAACTGCTTGAGCTTTGCCAACAGTTCGCCCTCTGCTCTGTGCCACCGGTCGCTCAATCAAACGCATCTTCGTCTGCCGCAATCAACCAATTAGAAAAGCTGGTGCATTAGGGCGTGCGTGCGAACGCATAAAAAGTGTAGGAAATCGATAAAGACAGTGCTCATAGCCCTGGTGGATGCTCATCTCTGCTGCTCTGGTGATCTCACGAAATGGAGCTCACAGAGTCTGAAGTCTTTGAGGACGACTTACCTCTTATTCGCAGTTGTCCCGCGTTGAATGAAATTCGTCTGGCGGACGAAATTAAAGACATGACGATAGAGGTAGCTTTCCTTGCTGTTCCCATCTTTAACGCTAACCGTTGTATGTGCATTAGGTGAAGCACGGCGCCCCCGTGCATGTCCACCGCATAATAATGGCATCTCGCATTCCTGCCCTACGAGCGTCTCTAGCTGGCCCAAGCACAAAAGAGAATTCGGTTCCAAGATGGCCGACAGTGCCCCTGAAGTAAATTTGCTGTCCGTACGATTTATATACTTTGTAGCCTCGCAACTTCACTCGTCAATTACATGTACACCGGCCAACTGGAGCTGACACAGGCGAATGTGAGCGGCGTTATTTGGTTTGCCAGAATGATGCAGCTCCCTGTCCTTGAGAAGGGGGGCAACGCAGTTCCTGGCTATGAGGTAAATCTATCCTGGCTATTATTGTCTAACTGCCTTTTGTAAATTGTTAATTTAGACAATCTTGCAACAACAGGGAACATAGCACAATCTCTGGAAATCCAGTCACTGATGGAAAGCTGCATCTCTGTGATGAAAGGGCTGTTTGAAGATGTCATCTCTACTGACCTGTTTGTCCACCTACCAGCGGAAACTATACTCACCCTTCCTCGAAGCGATTATTTGTCAGTTGAATCCGAAGAACAGGTTTTTGCAGCAATTTCAAGTTGGGTGTGTCCTTGTTCAGAGGTTGATCAGTAGAGACTGGAATTGTACGCTCCTACGATGTTGAAGGAGGTTCGTTTGTGTCACACAAGTCTGCAATTCCGCACTCAACTGGTGAATAGTCATATTAAGAAAGGCAACGAATGCCCGTAAGTAAATGTTGTTAAACATGGTGATTATTTTCTCACGAAAGTCGGCTTATGGCCCAGGTAGAACAGTGGATATGGTGTAAATACAAGGAAAAGACTCCGTGTCCATTCAACCCACACCCGAGACAATCCCTGACATTCTTCATCTTTGGGAAGGATAAGGACGAGGAAAGGTGGTCTGTCTTGGGCTTCGAATCAGACCTGCAAAAGGGTAAACGCGTCGCCGACATGAAGGGACGTCAATACGCCTCCCACAATATTGTGAATGGTGAGTTGTCTTTGAGTAACGCAGTATCTTCTGGGCATATATTATGTGTTATATATGAACGTTTTTTACCGTGTTTGTCGGATTAACAAAACGACTATCTACGCAGCTAAAGAGAGCATGTTATAGTTCAAGCAGTGTCGCAGAATTTATTTTAAGTTACGCCGAGATCAATCGGCTGTCATTGTGAAGTTTGATTTTACCGCTGGCTCGGCGAAGGCACCGATAAGCAAGTGAGAGAGACCCTTGTGTGATAACTATTAAATAACTTATGACGCATTAACGGAAAAGAACAAGACAATCAGCCGTCAGAATAAAGGTCCAGGAGTGCAATAGTCTTAAACTTTCCAGTTATTGGTTGTACTCATTTTTGTGGACAGTTAGCAGCGGTATTTGCTGTTTTGAAGAGAAAAAATAAGCTTTTTATTCGAATAAGTTTATTTTGTTGTGAAGATTATCGATCCTCCCTTTGACAGTTATTCCTGTTTTTCAAACTTTCCCTTCACCATTTAATTCATGCGCGCACGATATGCTTCCTGTATTATCCACCTTTACACGGGAAAAGGGAACATCTTCGTGGTTGGAGGACGGACCGCTCAGCAATGGGGGTTGAAGACTGTCACGGAATTCAAAGTGAAGGAACGGCAGTGGCGAAAGCGTGCGCCTCTCACCGTTCGACGCGAAAGTCATGCAGCCGCAGTCATAAAGCTGGGTGGACAGAAGACACTGCTTGGCGTTTTTGGTGGAGAATTCGAGGAAGAGGACAACTGGACGAAACTGTGCTCTTGTGAAGTCTATGACGTCACGCGGGACAGGTGAGAACAGACAGTCGCCGTCTATGGCACATCTCTGTTATTTCTTTTGTTTTTGCAATCTCCTCAGTGTTCCTCTTCGTCTTCCACTTTGCATTCCCGTCCTTCCCCTGACAGGTGGTGCAAACTGCCCGACATGCGGGAGAATAGGGCAGCAACGTCTGCTGCCTCCCTTCCTGGCGACAGTCGCATCCTCGTTTTTGGCGGTAATAATGATTCAGCAGACCTTGCCTTAGTTGAGTACTGCCAGTTGCAGGCAGATTGGGAGCAGAAGGCGACGACAACCAGCACCACCGACTTTTGGCAGACAGCTGCCCCCATGATAACTGCGCGGTCTTCTCTTGCAGCTGCACACTATCGTGAAAAAATTATCGTCGCTGGTGGATGGAATAACGATGCTAATGAAAACTTAAATGTTGTGGAAATGTTCACGCCGCCAGACAACAGCAGCCCGCTGGGCCAGTGGACTGCGCTGGCCAGCATGGAGCAACCTCGCACTTATTTCATCCTCCTACTTTCCAACGACTCAATTTTTGCTCTGCATTCTTTCTTCCTCTCTCTCACTCTCTTGCACACGCCCTCTCTGGCACGACCGTCTCCTTGATGCCCATTGTGTGTTACAGAACATGTAGGGCATGCACATGTGAAACTAGCTGCAAACCTAATTAAGTTCAGAGTTCAAACTGTGTTTATTGGCACAGATCAGAATTCAATCCGACACTCCTTTTCTATCCTGTGGACACATTTTTACTGTCATTTTTTTAAAGAGGAGCCTTTTCGAAAGTTTTTTTGCATTTATAGGCAACGACGATGAAGCGTGCAACAGCGTGGAGGTACTTACTGCACCCAAAGGTTCGGCCGATTCCGGCAATGACTTAACATCCTGGAGCTGGCAATCCGGAATATCAGTGGAAAAACTTGGCCAGAATTGGGGAGCTGCTCGTATTGATATCTAAATATCTGCGTTTTTGTATTAACTTGGAGTCAGTTAAATTGTTTTTATCTTTTGAATAAACAACTTGCAATTAAACCGCTTTTATCACTGTTATTGCGAAAACATGTCAAACATTTGCAGTGCCCAACATTCGGGGGGAGGGTGGCCTGAGTACTTGGGAGTTCTTTGTTAGAACCTATATCTTTGGCAATTCATACTCATGCTATTGCAAGTACACGGAAATGGAATGTATTATAGATATTGATTGGGTTTGCATGTCTTGGGTAT